AGCATCAAGTTAGGCCAAATAATTCTATTGCTAGGTTCATTTTACTTTTTACCAATCAATTGACGGATATATATTTAGGTGTGTTATAAATTATAGTAATTATTGGAGTGTGTAAATTTGGTGTTTGAATGCTTGATGGATAGCTACTGTACAAATGGTAGAAAATTAGCACACTATTAATCAATTTATTTCTTCGTTCGTGCTGGGTTAATATTCTCACCATTTATCCTTCTCAGTATTTATATTGTAGGTCAATTGTATACTCTATTGATATGCTTAGGGCTAATGATCCATTTTATATTTCATTAGTTTCCTAAAAGTATTTAAAGTCAGTACATCCTAGTTGCTGCTAAATTGTGTGAATGTCTCCCTCAGTATTTTTTGCCACTGTTACTCATTGTCATTTTCTACTGCCAAATATTTATACACTTAAATAAGGTGGAACTTGAATAGAATCCTTGTTTTGTTGGCATTATAAATTATAATTCGGCAAAAAAAGAAAAAATCTAGAGCAGTCGCTCACCTCTGCCGTGTGCCTGAATACCAAACAATACGCAGGCCATATGATGGGCGATTCCTTTATTTCCCGCTCTGTGCCTGAATACCGAACAATACGCAGGACAAGTTTGATGGGCTATTCCATTATTTATTTTTGTTCAGGGTAAAAAGACGAATTTCCATGACCTTTACTTTTTCTTGTCCAAAATTTAAATCGTCTCTTTCTCTGAATATTATGTACCAATTCCTCTAAATTTAATGATGCAAATTAATGATTAAAAACACAACATGTTAAGAGGTTTTTGCAGTGTACTTTTTGTACACAAAAATAAGAGTTGTTGACTGAGCCATGGCCTTTGGTCAAAGCTGTTAGTCCAGAAATAGTGAGGGTTGTTTAGATGGGCAGAGTTTTATTTAATTAACGTGATAAATTGCATGGTCACTTGACAAGCAGGAACCTGGGCGCTTGTCAAAGTTGCTAGTGTTCCCTGATAATCCAGTAGAACTGTATATCATATGAGATTAGTGTTTCATTGCTCATTTATTAACAGTACAGTAAGTTTGAATTGGCCATAGTGATTTTATATTCATTTTTTTCCTCTTTGAGCTCCTATCCTAAGCAAGCTGATAATTTTGTACCAAGTTAAAAATCATTAAAACTCATCATTTCATCCCAAAATGATATTTGTAGTGCTAATGTCAAAATATGACATACTTTTCAATATAGTTGAAATGGTAGTTAAACAGGTATGAGCTTAGAAAAATCTGGAAATCAATGTTTTGATATTATACTTATAACGTCTACTGTCTACTCTAGGGATTAGATAAAAAAAATAAAATACATAAACAAAATGAATATAAAATATGGGAAGTGAATCGAAAAACCATAAGAAAACAACAAAAGTAGCATCATGGCATACTGTAAAACCAATAATTTTCGCAGTACATTTATTTTCGCGCCAGCACAAGCTAGCGCTAATTCAACAACACGCGAAAATATTAACACCAACAAAAATATGCTCTACTATGTACGGTATTACAGTACAGTACACTGGGCCTAACCTTGCACCATACGCATGTGTGCCAAGCCTCGCCTAAGTCTTACCGTACAGCAACGCTGTTTTTCTAGGCCTAGCCTAGCTGTTTTTCTAGGCCTAGCCTAGCTGTTTTTCCCTAGGCCTACACCCTAGGATACTATCATGTACTGTATGTTACAGTGAACTTTTTTTTTCCCGAATATTGTACATAAGTGATCATTAAAACTAAAAATAAGTGTGTTTGTTTTCTTTGAAAAACTTTTTGCGGATCAACGACGACATCATCATCGAGGTTGACATTTTTTATGAATAGCGCCACCAGCAAATGAGAAGCATTTTTATGAATTTCATTGTAAAATTAACAAAAGTGAATTACATAAATTAAAAAAGAGAAGAAACTGATGAAATTTCATGGTATTTTCAAATTCAGAAATTCATTTATTCGCACATTATTAATTGATTGCAAATATAAGCACATTTATAATTATTTTTACAAATATTAAATACTCAATATTATTGTAAAATATAAAAGCAAATTGCTAGATACAAATATAGTTAAAATTTGGAATTTAGGATTATATAATTTAAGAAAAAAAATCAATATAATAATTTATTTCAAAATATGGTTGTAAAAAGCAGGACAAACTATAATATTTAAAACTCTATAACTAAGTGATTACACAGTTTTAGAATAACTTACACTTAAGACTTTAATTTTTTGTGTGTTTCTGATCAACTTACAAATTTTAATTTTATTTAATTAATATTAATATAAATTTTAATTAATATCTGCTCATTGGAGAAATAGGTAATATCTTTTGAATATAATGAAAATATTCAAAAAATATAGGTTACTCTGCTAAAATGTCATATTTTTAATGTATTTTATTAATTACAGATCCATTGACTTTTTGACTTGGCAACTTTGGTAGGGTAGTGTTGTCGCTAATTATAATCTAGGGTCATAGTGTTAACCTGCTTGTGGGGACGCTGCCTTGGGGTGCATCCATCCACCAATATCAAACAATATCAAAGTAATTTATTCATTGAGGCAAATCTATAGACGTTAGTAGATGAAAAATCATAGATTAATCAAGTTTCCTTGAAAGAATAAAGATTTGTAAGTAAAAATTTGCTGAATTCAAATTGATATAGTACAGTTTAACTTGCCTAAGTCAAATCCAAAATGGCATTGAAAAATTTTTCGACTTGGATAAAATTCCACTTACAGATGGTTAATTAAGTGAAAACACAACAATTAGGTATACTGTAAAATAGGATCGACTTAGTGTAACTGTATTTGAAAAGGCATGACAATTCCTATAAAATTATTTATGATATGTAAGTGTATGTTATTGATGTAGGCTTTCAAGACAATGAAAGCATTATCCCCAAATTAAAAAATGCCATGTATTTTAATTGAGCTAATAAATTTTATAGTTAGCCAAGTACTGTTGTCATTTCATGTGTACATTTAGTTAAATTTAGATAAACTAATTACAGTGTAACACTACACACTTAAAATGATATAAAATTGTATACCAAATGAAAGTGCTATATTTATTTACTTCATAATTTTTAAAAATGTGTAAATAATTAAAAATAATTAATGATAATGATAATTTAAATTATAATAGACAACTGTGCTTGGGGAGATAGAGGATGCTTCTTTATAATCAAATTTTACTGGTCGATAATCAGTGTTAAGTTTTAATATATTGTAAACAGTACCTTCCCAAGTGCAATGACAAATAGATGAGCAACATAATTGCTGAGTATATAATTTATTAGCCTCCCCAAATAAGCAAGCTTTTCCAATTTTTTTTTGTCAAACAGCTCTAAGTATCTTAGAATGTTCATTTGTACAAAAAGGAAAAATTAAAAAATTGAGGTGCGATTTGAAGTCACGACCTTCAGTTCCTTACAAAACAGCGTTAACCAACCGCACCATTTATGCAACTGTGTCCTGTTAGGGGTAGTAATTAATGGCAATTATGAACTTGACAAATAAATTCACCTATTGGAAGACAGACTTACGCCCAAAAATAAAAGTGAGTAGAGGTAACCTCAGTTTAACGCACGGACCAATGAGTGGTCGCTCTTGTTTTAATCTTATCTTTATCATAATTTATTTCTAGAATTATTTCTTCAATATATTCATATGCCAATCAATTTTCTTTTACCGTAGATGCAGCTTTTGAATGTTTATGCTTAAAAATAATTCTTGTACAGCTATCACTCTTGATTTGTTTGTACATAATTCAGTACTTGTGTTGTGAAATTTGCACTTAAAGGATCAATTTTCCGCTCAAAAATTAAAAGACTTATTATCGACTAAGATGTATTTTAATATAAAACTATTAATTTTGTGTTATCAGCACCGTCACTTGAAAGATTTGACCCTTGGGGTGAAGTGAGTTCTCCTGACGAATTATTATTCTCCTATGCTTTGCTATAAAATTGTTGTCTAATAGTTGCCTTAAGTTCTTCATTAATTATTTTTAATCATTTGTGGCAGACACAAATATGGAGATAAAATTGTTTGAGTTATATAAAACATAATGGAGGCCATTCATTTTGAGGTTTTTGGTGAATGACATGAACTTGCTTAGGTTACATAAACCTGTTTGAACCCGCATGAACTGTGATTATAGCACAAACTGAGGTCCACAGAGGTAGAAGGCGTGTAGTGCCACATTAGTAATGTCCTTTTTTGAAAAGATAATTATATTTTTAATTAATTTTTTTTTTTTTTATCGATTTGATAAGAATTAACTTCATAAAGAATTAAATCCTACCTAAATCATCTGTTAATCACAAGTTTTGTATTCGATGACAAGGCCAACGTGCGCTATCTATTTCTCTCTATGACTAGAAACTGCAAAAAAATGTTGGGACAGTTGTTTAATTTGAATGGAAAAATAAAATAAGGATGTCTATTAGTTTATTTGAAAATGGATATAAGCAACTACTGTATATCTGTCATTAATGATTGTTAACAGTGAAAATATAGCTAAAAGGCTTGCAACACATGTTTTAAAATGATTTATACTGATTTTCAGTTTCTTTGTATTTTATACAATTTGTTTAAAACTGGAGAATACATAATTATACTATTGTTTTTATATTTAAATTGTTATTCTTTGTCATTTCAATTTCCACATCACTGACCAACAATTGTCCAAAACTTTACCAAAAGTTTTAGACAAACTATTTAGATCAGAACGCTGAAATAGTGATGCTTTCAAGAAGTAGGATATGTTGGCCATACCTATTATTATTGGGTCTTTTTTTAATTGATATAAAGACCGTAAAATTATCACCATCGTCCCAACACTCAGCAGCAGTTGTTCCTAACAGGAAAAAATTTCAAACAACAGTATATCCCTATATTCGATAATGGTTCATTCCTATATTGAGCCAGTTAGGTCATTCTACTATCAAAGTCTGTAAAAAGGAGGAATGTAGAATTTCACAGCAAAGGTATTGCGTCAGTGACTAGCTGAGTTTTGTTTCTGTTGTAAAACTGTTTCTGTTGATATTTTTGAGAGACGCCTCAGATGTTACAATTTTAGCACGTTTACCGTTAGTGTCTTTCTGAGATATATTAGGCGTACATGGAGTTCCAGGATCCAGCATGTGTAAGTAGGGTTTATTCTATTGAATTTGGAGAGCATTTGTCAACTATAGAATTTAATAAACATTTTAATTTGTTTGTCCAACAATTCCTACCTGAATTAATCATGTGATTTGGAGAGTATAGTGTTCAGGTACTATTTGTCGATATTCAAATTTACATCTTTATATTCAAATTTACATCTTTACAGCCAGGCTCTGGAGGTGGGAAAATTGGTATGTTTTAAAATTAATGTTTTCTGTAAGACCCTGATATGGTGTTTGGTGAAAAACTTAGGAACTTTCATTATGCTATCTGATTTTTAAATATTTAATTACTAAGGAAAAATCCCCAGATTTTCAATACTAAAAAATCTATCTGTATATTAATTATTAACCCTTCTCGAGTTCTTTCGTTAAACATCCCCTTTGTGTTTAGAAAAATCAGTTTTATAGCAAATAAAAGCCTGCCTTTAATATTCTAATAAAATATTATTTTAGTACCATTTAAAAGAAAATAATTCAAATAATAACAAAATCTATATTACAATAGGCCAAAATGTGTTTCAAAACCAGAGTCAGTTGGTCAGATTTTTTGGTTTGACTGGACTTGAGCAACGCAAACTTTCTTTACTTTTTTTAGTATGAATATATCTTTTATGTACTACTAGTGTTTTACCATATTTATTAAAATAAACGCCCCTGTGCGTTTATTGTTAAGAAGGGTTTTGGAGGGAGCCGTTTATTCAAGGGAGGCGTTTTTTTTTTTGTTTTTTTTTTTTGTTTTTTGGTGTAAAATGGATACGTATACAGTACTCAAATAGACGCCCCTTAAATTCACTGTAAATGTGGAACTACAACACATAATTACCGTGTTATTGCTTGATCATAAAGACTTACTGATCCCAACCAGGTTAAGAAAAAATGTAATTTTATAGAGTAGAACATTAGTAGAATGTTGAGAATGATGTTTGCTTCATTTAGGGGGCATTTATTCGTGGAAAAAATAAACAGCTCAAGAGGGGCCTATATTCGAGAGGGTGTTTATTCAGAGCAAGGCATTTATTCGAATATGGTATATCAGAAACTAGCAACCTTCGGGTTAACTCACTTGTGGTCAGTGATTTGGCATGATTCAAAGGAAGGGAACCAACCAAGGCCAATTTACTGACTTACCGTAAGCTGCAAACTTTAAATTTGGAGTCCTGGTGATGCAATTCAAAGGGTGTTATACAGTTTTTTTTCTTTAAATCTACTGTAGAGTAGGAAATCAAATTTAGAAGGTCAAAGGTATTAGCTACCTTTAGTCTTCTAAGTTGTTTGTCAAGCCTTATTTATAGTTCTATAATTTGTATTTTATTTAGAGCTTTACTACCCTATCCTCATTAGCAAGTAATTTTAGATTTATTGGAGAGTAACGTTTATATGCATTGAAAAGGCCAAATAGCACAGTGACATTTGCAAATTGGAGTTGGTTGGGATTTTTCTTTTTTGTGCCTATCTAATTAAAACTTTCCTTGCTATTTTAATTTGCATCTTGCCTGCAGAGTTTAGTTTTGGCTGTGGCTATTTTTACTCATATTATTCCTAATTCTGTTTGGATGTTATGTGTATGGATTGGAACAATAACATCCAATCATCGTCTTGGTGCCAGAATTTGACACCCCTTGCCTGTTTGACCACTTTCATAGAATGTTCTATTTCACAATTTTCATATCTTGAAAATGCTGGGTTTTTAATTAATTTTGATTACTGTTTATGAATTAGTGGCTCCTGTTGTACAAAATTAAAATATATTACATTTAAATTTGATAAAAATGTAGTAATAATATCATCAAGAAAATTGTATTGTTTGAAAGCATGGCAAAGTAAAAATATGTATATTAAAATCAACCAAAAACAGTTCTTTTCATAACTGTCTACGTGGTGTACCACAAGCATTATATATATATTAATAAAATTATCAAAAATGAGTATTCGTCCATCTTGGATGTATAGCATTTCTTCTATTGGGTAGAAGATATTGATCAACTTTTGTCCTGGAACCAAACTTACTGTGCAGTAGCCTTTTCTTCATCCTAATATTTTCAGCAGTACTTTTTTTTAAATAAATGTGAACTTGGTATAGATTTCATCTTAATTATTAGATGTAAAATTTAACTATGATTTTAATCTTTCTTGGGAATATCATATATTGAATAAATCATTTAAAAGTCTTCTTTTGTTTTGTAGGAAAGGCAGTTCACAACATTGGGTTCTACGACGTGACATAATTTTTTTTACATTTCGCTCAGAATGCATAATCCAATACTTTGTCAGGAAAAATGAAAATTTCCTTTGATTTATGAGATGTCACTAGCTTACTGTAGATTGAGTATCATATGCATCGATTGATACACTGTACAAATTATTCTTTTTTATTGTCACTCTGGTAGGTTTCCCACAGGGCTCAGCATGTGACAGACAAGATAACTCTGAGACAACTGTAGTTGTCTCTGAAATAAATATATCGTAAATTTTTCTAAATCTGAGACAACAGTTGTCAATTTTATAAAGTTTGTTTTTCCTGTGAAGAGTTCATTTTAGAATTCTTACACATGTATTAGGGCACATAGAAAAAATTATTAGATTACCACTCTTTTCTTTTTTTTTTAAATTGATGAGGGAGGGCATTTTTTTTTTTTTTTTTAAATCAGAAACAATAGATTATTTCACTTTTGTTTTTATAATTGAGGGAGGGACTGTTTATATTTGGTCTGTAGTAGTAAATATTGTATAAAAACTAGTTTAATTTTATAGTTTTAAAGAAAATGTATTTGAAGTCATTAGTCCCTGGGAAGTTTTTTAGTTATGCATCTAATTCACCTTTGTTAGGTTTCATTTCATAAATAAAGAGCTAAATTTGTTGTCTTGTTCAGTTCACTGAGAAAATTTCTTATTCATGTTTTTGTATCCAATCAAAAAAATAGTAAGCTGCACTATTTTGAGAAATGCATGTCACCTTGTTTCAAATATCCTGGATCCGCCTCTGGTTGCTGTACCTTATGAAAGGCAGTACTGTATCTTTAATAAAAGTACAGTATTATTATTTTATTATATTGTTTGACTTGGGCAAACAATAATTGTGTAACAAGTTTGATTAATACAGTCAGTTTGTGATACAAGTAATAAGATTTGTTTGGTGGTAAGAGATTAATATTAGTCTTTCATCTATTCTTTGGAAAGTGCGTGTTAATGCTTTATGAATTCAAAGCTAGAAATAAATATTGTATGTGGCAACTGGCACGGTTATTTGGTTGTTAAGGTACATAAATAGTAAGTTTTCCAATCAGAAAATGAAGATTAGTTTTTAATCATTGAGCTTTATATTTATAAGATCAAAGCTGGTTATAATTATGTAGGTAAAATACATCATATATTGTCAGATTATAAAATCTGGAAAAAAAATACCACTTAATGCAATTTTTAAATACATGAATTATTAATTCAAAAAGATTGAATAATATCAAATTCTAATGAGAATCCAATCAATGAAATTTAGTTTTTTACAGATGATATAATACGAAAATTCTTAAATCTATTGCCAGTTAACTGAAGTTTCTATGCACAAAAGAAAAGAAATGGTATTAAATACATGTACAATGTAATTTACATTTGAAAGCTAATAACATACTTAAATAGACAAAGTCAAGAAATTGAATATTTAATTTTTTTTTCCAATTTAAATACAGAAAGTTTATCTTAAAGATATCCTTTGAGAGATGAGGATGAAAGAAAATTGCCTTTAGAAATGAAGAAATGAAGATATTAAACTTTACAGTGTTAGACAATCTTGACATCATCAGTTTAACGTGCAATACTTTTTGCATTGCCAATAAGTTGCATTATTGACCATTGTCTGATGATTATTACATTATGTTGTGATTATTGACTGTTGCTCTACAATTATTGCTCATACTTAATGTTTCTAATCCTACATCCATATTTTTTTTGTTTTACTAAGCTTGTTTAATCGCCTTTTTAATTGTACTGATTACTTTTAACTCTGTTTAGGAGGCTTTCAGATAACTTGACAAAATTGTTAATTCTTCAATGTTAATATCTAGGTTTTTTTAATTATTTACACATGGGCCTTACATAATTTTTTTTCTCTTTAAAAATAAATTATACTGTCCAGGAAACCTGCTCATAGATACTGGTAGTATTTGGGAACATACTGAGCATTCAGTACAACACCAACTTTGGTAGAGCAACATCATTCCTAAGATAACTTTTATTACTCATCTGAGTGCAGATCCGGAGAAAAATCTGGGTTTAGGCCATGCGTTGTGTGAAGAACCAAGCGGGAGTTGGTGGGGATGGTGGTGTTTGAGATTTCTGTTTTAAGTGCTTGAACATAGACACCGGTACATGGAATTTAGATCGATAATTAGTTTGTTTTGTAGTACTGTCCTCCCTTTCTTTCTCCCTTCTTTTCTTTTCTTCTCTTTTTTATCTTTTTTTTTTGTGGGCGGGGAGGGTGGTGCTTATCTCCCATTTCCCCCCTCCCCTCTCCACTGGGTCTGGCTCATGACCCAGTTGTGCTTTACAAAGGATAATACAGGCCAATTCAGGGGTGATGGACAAAAGTGAGACTTCAGATGCAAAAATTCCTATTTAACACTTTGAAAATTCTCATTTTTATCTTTTTCTGTTAAATAGCTATTTGATGAAAATATACACTTATAGAATGTTCTGAATAAATAAATGCTTCAGAATTGGTATAGAGGAATCCATTTCCAAAGATTGGGAGATTATGAGTGATTCAAGGAGGATTTTTTGTTAGCTTACAGGATAGAATGATGAAAATAACTACCAGCAGGGCTTTAGCTCCTAATGTGAACGCCATAAGCCAAAAAAGATTGCTATATGTTTTAGTAGCAATGGTGATGGCAGAGACAGAATGGAGGGATTGAATGGAAAAATTAGAAAATGTGATATTTTTTTAACACCTGCTAAAGTCTAAAGCTGAGCACCTTCTTGGTGC